AGAAGCTCAAACTTGGGTGAAGAAAACTGAGAGTTTGACATTTCACAAGTTGTAAATTAGTGAAACTTATACACAGATTTATGTTCCATTTGCCATCACAAGCTCCTGTTTCAATCTCTCTTTCCCCAGCAGTTTCAGAGAGGAGCTCTAAGCATTGAGTTGGAGATACAGACAAAAAGATAAAATGTCTCTGCATATACAAAGGAAATCATTGTGCGGGTGTTGTTATATTAAAGTAGAACCCAGAGATCTGTGTAGTATTGCCAGCCACCATAACAGCTGCAGCTAGGTCTCATACAGTGTGGTTTTACGGTATACGGTGAATCACCATCTGCAGATATGTCATCACCGTTCTCTAGTTTCTGAAAAAGGGAGATATATAATTTGGTGCTACAGAATTTGGAGTGGGAGGAGGTGATGGCTCCAGCAGTTCCTTTGCTGTCTACCTCACAAGTGACAGAGAGAGTTATACGTGACATTTTGTATGAAAGGATTTCGAAAGGTAGAAAGTCTAGAGAAATGATATCCTGTGTCGTTATTGGTTTTCTCATTTCCACAAAGAGAGGAAATGTGCTAGATTAGGAGAAAAACCCCCCTTCGATAAAGAGGAGAAATGATGCTTAATGAACACCCTTGGAGCACTTTGGACTAGGTGACCAGTAAATTCTAGCAGCCCCTGGTCTCACTTGATAAATAACAAAAAGAAATCTTGGTTTACCATGGTTCCCTTTGGTAGTCCCTTTTATCACAAAGAAAAGCAGCATGTAATATGTGGAAAATACGCTGGTTTGGGAGTGCTTTCCATTTTCCAGACATGGAACTTTGAAAGGTCGTTTACCTACCTGATTCTTGGTTTTCCTCCTACAAAGTATGTATATATAGTCAGTTTTTCTGTATCACAAAACAACCCCCAAATTGCAGTAGTTTACAATAATAATAACACATTTATTCTCACTCAAAAAACTTTTCTGATGTATGGCTCAGCTGTGGCTCTGCTCCAGCTGTGTTCCGTGTTTCTTATTCCCAGACCCAGACTGAGAAGGATAGCCCCCGTGTGGGGCATGCCTATTATCATGGCTGAAAGAAAGGGTAAGAGAGCTTGATGGATGCCTCTTAGCGCTACTGCACGGTTCTGGCATAGGCCATATCCACCGTCATTCCACTGGCCAAAGAGAATCATGTGGCCAAGGGCAGTGCCCATGGAGCAGGGAAGCATACTCTTCCCACAGCCAGCCGGCCAATCACAGAACCCTCTACAGGGAAGGGTGGAGGTGAGAGAAGGGAGGGGATGTCGACTTAGCGCTGCAAACCTGTGTGAGTATCATGTAAGGAAAGGTATAGAAAAGTACACTGTAACCTATGGATTCCTTACTAATGTGAGAATTGCTATCATTGTGGAACAGTTCCTTTTACTGTTACTTATTTTGGGGATCAAGTCTTAAATATCATTAAAATCCATCACTTCTCCATTCTTACCACAAGCCTTTGTAGAGTTTTTAACCATCTCAGTTGTAGTTTTTTCAAAGCTATGTATTTTGCCTATTTATATTCGTTTTTAAAATTTTACAAGTATAATCATTTGTATTTTCCACTATAACTATATTAAACCCCTTTCAAGGACTTGGGCATCTAGGTTTTTTACTTTTTGTTTCCCTTGATGATTTAAAGTGATAAAATTCTCTCTAGGAAATTTAGAAACTTTTGGAAGGATAAAGAGGAAATTTAAAACACCAATATCAAATCCCTGTCTTAATATACACACAAATGTACACAAATATTAATTTTTACTAAATGATTGTACTCTTTTGGCAATGTTTTTCCACTTTACTGTACGTTAGCATGCATTTTTGCTGATTATTGTATATTTTTTGAAAAAATGAATTTAACATTTTGATATGCAATATTAATATATGTAATATGCAATACATGTATATTTATGAAGCTCAATAATAAAACAAACACTCCGCACTTGAGAACTGGACCCTCACAAAACCTGCAAAATTACATATGTGCTCCTCTGCTACCGCCCCCCTCAGGGGTAACCACTCTTCTGCGTGTTGTCAGTAGCTTCTTCCATTGTTTTTTAAGTGTTTTCACATATGTGTGTATCTCCACACAGTATATTGTTGAGTTTTGCTGGCTTGAGCTTTATAAAAATGGTATCATACTGCTTTAATTTTAGTGGTGAAATGAATGTTACAAAATTAGTTTAAACTGTCCTCTACTGTTAGATGTTTAGAGAGTTTTCTGATATTTTACTTTTACAAAGAACTTGTACATTAATCTTTGTGTTTATCCCCAATTATTCCTTGGGAATAATTTCGAGAGGTGAAATTGCTAGGTTAAAGGGTAAGAACACTTTTAAAGCTTTGTTTTTTTAATAACTGCACAGGAAATATGTCCATCTAGAAGATTTTAATAAAACAAACATTCAGTTTTGCTTGGCAGATAATTATAAGTCATTACTAGCTTTCCACTTTAAAAGACAATAAGAATACACAGAATTTCTGACTCCTTGAAATCTATTCTGTTCTTGTCACACTGTGATATTACTATCCACTTAGTTGCTAAGGCTGGAAACCTTAAAGACACCTTCTGTCTGCTTACCCAGCTCCACTTCAGCCCCCAACGTTTCCCCTTAGTCAGTCCTCAAGTCCTGCCAGTTGTGTCTCTGCACTGTCCCTTGAATCCATCCTTTGCCTTCCATTCTTATAAGCACTGCTCTAATTCAAACCCTGCTCATCTACCACATGGACCATTCATAACACAGCCTCTTAACTGGTCCCCTCCCTGTCTTGCCTGTCTAATCAGTCCTTCACGCTGTCACTTTCTCAAAACACAGACTTGTCTTTAAAACTGAAACCAGAAATCTTTGATACGCCCATTACCGCAAGATAAAATCTACCCTCCTTAGTTAAAGCCCTTGATCTAATTTAACCTACCTCTCCAGCTTTATTTCCTCATGATTCATCCTCCCCACCCCATTTCACCACAAGAATTTTGTGTTTTATGTTCTAGTCTGCCTGGGCTACTTGTTCCCTATATATTTTCCAGATTTTCCTTGTTCTTGCTACTCCCTCAGCCTGAAATACCCTTCCTCTCCCACTCCTTTCCAGCCTGTTGCCATGCTGCACATGCTTCAAGGCTCCACTGAAATGCCAGCTCCTCCGTGGAGTTTAACATCAATGTAAGTTACCATAGTTATACATAGATGAGTCAGGCATGTTTGCGTCTCCCAAAATACTTCGTTAAAACACGAAAAGAATATATTTTTTACATTTGCTGAGTAGAAAATAATGCTGGGTAGAAAAAGCAGAACACAAACTATTTTAAACAAATCAATTACAATAAGTAAAAAAAATATATATATGTAATGTGTATATATGTGTGTGTGTATGTGTGCGTGTGTATCTGTGTGTATATAGAGAGACAGACAACAAGAGAGACTAATAGGGATACTTGAGCTTGGTGTTTATTAAGCTTCCGAAATTCTTTTTGGAGTCAGGCAGGATGCTTACTTTTTAAAAGAAATTAATAATATAATGCTACTTGTTAGGTTCATTTTCTTTCATAAAGATGCTTGCTTGGGCTTAAACAGGTTTCCATTTGGAGCTTAACCCTAGTTGGTCCAGTTGCAGGAGGCCAGCCAGCTGCTTCTCCTCCCCATGTGAGTGTTAACTGGCTGCGGCGGAGGGGCCTGTCTCCTTGCCGGGTCTGTCTAGTTACGGTCACAGGTGGTGAACCGTCCCTCAGCTCTTCACTAGATGACTGCTAAACAGATGAGCAGGTGATCTTTATGGTCTCGCCAGCTCTCGTATTCTGAGATACTTTTTGTTCACGAGGCACAAAAATGCTTAAGGACAGAGGAAAGTGCCGACTTCTTCTCTGTTCTAGCAGCTTCGCTGGTGTCAAGTAGCCCATTGCTCCTTTTCTTAACTCTGAACTGCCAAAATGTGTGGTGTGGGAATTAGTCAGTTGGGTTCTGATCCAGGTGCACCACTACCTATGTGGCCCTGGGTGTGCCCCTTTCTGTCACTGGGCCTCTGTTTCTGTATCTGTGACATGAAAGGCTGAGACTAGATGTTCTTTGAGGTTCTTTGGAGTTTTAATATATTGTAATTTTATACGTGGTATGTGTAAAGTGCCCAAGCATTTTTTTACCCTATAGTCACTAGCCCTTGTTTCAAAGTTAGGAAATCAGTAGAATGGGATTATTCACAGAATATTTTTCTCTTCACAAAATAGTGTAGATAGCAAAGTGGAGCATCAGGGTATGTAAACAGATATGTGTGATTGAGGACTATCCTGGTTCCATCGCTCACTTCAACTTACCTTAATATTTTTTCTCTTATGATGGGTATTTCTCAAGTCTTAAAATTGTTACCATTAGTAATGTAAACAAAAAATTTTTGAAGATATCTTGTAGGAAATTAAAATGTTGGAGCAGACTTCAAATATGCACGCTAATTCTGATCAGTCTAGTAGCGGCACAGTATATCTTAAAGTATCTGAACTCTAACAATCATTATAGACTTCCTTTCTTAAGAAAGAACCTCCAAAGTCTTACTGAAGAAGAAGGCCCCATTTTAATTTCCAAGGGACAAACTAATATTTGATATATGGTACTTGATTCTAGAGTTGCTTCTGGCAAACATAATTGTTATTGCTTAAACAAGTGTTTTCTAGTAATTAGAATTTTTTTTCATTTTGATGGCTAGTCATAAATATTAACCACCAGCAGTGCAGGAATAATTTATATTCAAATTGTCAGACATCACTCTGTGAACACATAAAATAATTTACATTTATTTCGAACCTTTTATCCTAAAGTGCTCTACACATAATTCTTTCTAATCTGATTGCAAAGCTATATATAGGACTCTCTCACCTGAAATAAGGCAGCAACCAAAGTAATTAAAATAAAGGATTCAACTTCAAAAAAGTAAAGGAAAGAAGGAAATGTATTTTTTACTTCTTCCTATATGCTCTTATGCCTGTAGGATTGGAGAATCCATGTTGACCAGATGCACCAACACAAAAGTGGAATTGAATCTGCTCTAAAGGAGACCAAGGTATGTGAATTACTTCAGATAAATAAATGTCCATATACTCATCTGGGGAACACCTATTGAGGGAGAACATGAAAGACAAAAAGACACAATCCTGGCCTTTGAGGAGCTTACTGATTGAACGTACCATATTACCTTTTGATAGCCCTAACACTTAAACCAACTAAGAAAGGTAACTTTATATAAAAGCAAAATAATATATATATATTATATTATGTATATTATATATATTTATCTAATATATTTATATATACAGTCATGCCCTGCATAATGATGTTTTGGTCTACAACAGTGGTCCCATAAGATTATAACAGAGCTGAAAAATTCCTATTGCCTGGTGACATCATAGCTGTTGTAACATTGTAGTGTAATGCATTACTCATGCATTTGTGGTCATGCTGGTGTAAACAAACTTACTGCGCTGCCAGTTGTATAAAAGTAGAGCACATACAATTATGTACATTACATACTACTTAATAATAAATGACTATGTTAATGGTTTGTGTATTTGTTATACTGTACTTTTTATTGTTATTTTAGAGCGTATGCCTTCTACTTATAAACAAAAGTTTAGTGCAAAACAGTATGCTATGTTATGCCTGCAGCAGCCTCATACTTCTCATGTTTACCACATCTCTTGATTGCATCATTTTGCCTTGTGCTTGATTTAATCTCGTGTTGTTTTGTTCATCATGGCCCCTAAGTGTATGAAATTCACTGCTAATGTTGCCAGTAAGAAGTCACATAGAATGATTGACCTGGAAATGAAATTAAAAGTGATTAAAGACTACAAAGGTAGAAAATCAATGGTGGTTATTGCTCACCAGTCAGGCATGTCCCATTCCACCATAGCTACGATCTTGAAGCTGAACAAAGTGATGGAAGCTGTTAAAGTATCTGCTTCATTGAAGGCAACAAGACTAACAAAAGTTCAAGAAGGGTCTATATCAGACATAGAGAAACTTCTAATGATCTGGATGGAAGACCAGACACAGAAGCATGTCCAGTGCCATGACAGTCATGACCAAAGCAAAAAGTTTGTGATGTTGAAAGAAAAGGCTGGACCCAACTATGATGCTGAATTTACTGCCAGCTCTGGGTGGTTTAAACCATTCAGGAAGCATTATTCACTACATAATGTGAAAGTGAGGGGTGCGTCAGTGAGTGCCGGTGTGAAGGCAGCTGAAGACTTTTTGGAAACTCTAGATAAGCTGATTGTGGAGGAAGATTACTTGCCAGAGCAAATATTCAATATGGATGAAACCTCCCTATTCTGGAAATCAATGCCTGAAAGGAGTTTTTATTCAGAAGGAGGCCAAGTCACTGCCAGGTGTCAGGGCTTTTAAGGGCAGGATGGATGACAGTCTTGCTCGGGGGCAATGTTGCAGGCTACAAAATGAAACCCTTTGTGATCTGGCACAGTGAGAACCCCAGGACCTTCAAACATATCAATAAGCACACGCTGCCTGTGTACTACAAGGAGTAATAAGAAGTCATGAATGACCCACCTCCTCTTCCAAGATACTCTCCTGAATTGCTATGTCATTGAAATGGAGAAGTATTGTTTGAGAATAACATACCTTTTAAGATTTTGCTTATCATTGGTAATGCTCCCAACAACCTCCTTTAATTGATGATCTTCATCCCAATATCAAAGTGGTGTTTCTCCCTTCAAACACCACCTCTTTGATCCAACCAATGGATCAAGGAGTTCTGGCAGCTTTTAAGGCCTAGTACCTGTGGAGGACCTTTGCCCAGACTATTGCTGCAACTGAGGAAGACACTGAGAAGACACTGATGCAATTCTGGAAGGATTACAACATCTATGACTGTACCAAAAACCTTGCTTGGGCTTAGGGTGATGTCACCAAGGAGTGTATGAATGGCATCTGGAAGAAGACACTCAAGAGGTTCATCCGTGACTTCAAAGGATTTGCCAAGGATGAAGAGGTTGCAAAAGTAAACGAAGCTGTGGTTGAGATGGCAAACAACTTTACCCTGGGTGTGGATGAGGATGACATTGAGGAGATCCTAGAGGTGGTTCTGAGGAATTGACTAACGAGGAGTTGTTGGAACTGGAACAGGAACACATAGCTAAAGAAGAGGCAAGAGAAAAGGAAACTGCAGGAGAAGAAAGAAGAACCCCCAAGAAAATTCACAGTGAAGGGTTTAGCAGAAGCTTTTACAGACCTCAACAAGCTCCTCAAAAAGTTGAAAACATGGAGCCCAACAATGAAAGGTTTTCATTAATAGAGAGGAATGTTCATGCTGAATTATCTGCTTGTAAGCAAATCTATGATGAAAAAAGAAACAAACCAAGCAACCACCATCGACATGTTTCTGAAAAGAGTGACCCCTCCTCAAGGAGAGCCTCAGGCAGGTCCGTCAGGAGCTGTTCCAGAAGAAGACATTGTTATCATAGGAGACGACAGCTCCACACGTGTTATTGCCCCTGAAGACCTTCCAGTGAGACAGGATGTGGAGGTGGAAGACAGTGATGTTGATGATGCTGACCCTGTGTAGGCCCAGGCTACTATGTGTGTTTGCATCTTAGTTAACTAAGAAGTTTAGGGGTGAGCCCAGTGGCGCAGCGGTTAAGTTTGCATTTTCTGCTTTGGCGGCCCAGAGTTCACTGGTTCAGAACCCGGGTGCGGACCTGCACACTGCTTGGCAAGCCATGCTGTGGTAGACGTCCCACATATGAAGTAGAGGAAGATGGGCACGGATGTTAGCTCAGGGCCAGTCTTCCTTAGTAAAAAGAGGAGGATTGGCAGTAGATGTTAGCTCGGGGCTAATGTTCCTCACAAAAAAAAAAAATTTAAAAACTAAAGAAAAGTAAAAATTTTCAAAACAGATAAAAGATTATAGAATAAGGGTATAAAGAAAGAGTATATTTTTGTGTAGCTGTACAATGTGTTTGTGCTTTAAGTGTTACTACAAAAGAATCAAAAAGTTAAAAAAATTTAGAAGTTTATAAAGTAAAATAGTTACAGTAAGCTAAGGTTAACTTATTCTTGAAAAAAGACAAAAAATTTTTTATAAATTTAGTGTAGCATAGTGTACAGTGTTTATAAAGTCCGCAGTCGTGTACAGCAACGTCCTAGGCCTCCACATGCACTCACCACTCACTCACTGATTCACCCAGAGCAACTTCCAGTCCTGCAAGCTCCATTCATGGTGAGTGCCCTATACTTGTATACCATTTTTTTATCTTTCATACTGTTGTTTTTCTCTACCTTTTCTATATTTAGATACATAAATACTTACCATTGTGTTATAATTGCCTACATTAGTTAGTACAGTAACATGCTATACAGGTTTGTAGTCTAGGAGCAATAGGCTATAATATGGCCTAGGTGTGTAGTAGGCTATACCATCTAGGTCGTGTAAGTACACACTATGATGTTCGCACAACAGTGAAATCGCCTGACAATGCATTTCTCAGAGTATATCCCGATGTTAAGAGACGCATGACTGTATATATGTATATTAGAAACATTTCATTCTTTCCTCTCTGAATCCCGAGGGATAACAGAGCACCAGGCCAGCAATGAGTAGAACCTACAGCTTCCTCAGGCTTGCTGTCCTGCCAGATACAAGGGCTTTTGGAGGACATCACAAAGAAGCAAAGTTGGAATGAGAAATTATGGGTCCCAGGCTAGAGCCATAAGTTTAATGATCTACTTCCAACTGGAACATTCCAGGCATCTTTGAAGTGTGCTATAAGAAAGTCATGTTATTCCTTACCTGCTTTGATTATGAACTTTTATTTAAAGCAAATTCCACTCACATACATTTTAGATGTGCGTAAGGACAAATGAATTAGCTAAGACTACTAGGTGCTTTTTCACTTTAACCTTCTGCAAAGTGTAACTGAAATATTTCTCGTTGCAGACTTCTTTGCTATTGAAAATTTCAAACTGTCTACTTTTTCACAAGTGGTTGAGAATTTGGGAAATGGATTGGGGGAGATTTAACCCATTTTAAACTATTTTTGAAAAATATATTTTGAATTCTTTTACCTACTAAAATCCCATGGAATTTCTAGGGATTTTTGGACAAACTCCATAATGAAATTAGTAGGACCCTGGAAAAGATTGGCAGCCGAGAAAAGTACATCAACAATCAGCTTGAGCACTTGGTTCAAGAATATCGTGCAGCCCAAGCCCAGCTGAGTGAGGTAATTTAAGAATGATATCTGGGGCTTTATTCCAATTAATGACCTTCATCCCTAAACCTGACACAGCGCTCTTCATTTGGGAATCGTGAAATCCTTTTCACAAATGGCAACACACTGAGTCTTTGCCCACTTTAGGAAGCCAAATGAGGCAACAGAACTTGTCATGTCTGTTTTACATGTGGTAGAAATTATCTCCTATTACATTTGTTTCTTCATTTGACTGAAATAAGCGAAGGTATATATTGTTGGGGAACCTGGCTTAGAACAGGAACAGAGTGTCAGGACACCTGGTTTTGTTTCTAAGTCTGCTGTTAATTTACCGTATGAGTAGGAGGAAGAATAGTCTGCATTTACATGTGTCAGAGGGAAAAGACATCCTTGCCGTAAAGACTTGCAACCACACAATAAGGAATGTGAAAGCAAGACATATTCAAAGACAAGCAGTTTAATTAATTGAGCAAATTTTTAATCCTTTCAAAGTTTCAGAATTTCAACCAAAAAATAAATTAAACCTTCAGGCTTTGAAAGCGCAGTTCCTTGTCCCAGCTGTAGGGACCTACAGGCTTTCCTTTGGGATCTGTGCCCCCTCTTTCCTGATGTTGAAGACGAGGAAGAACACTCGCAAATGTCAGTTGAAGGCATGTTTTTTTTTTTCTTTCAGCAGACAAGGTTAGAACAAGAAAAAAATGGAAATAAACTTGAGATACTTCTGTATTTCAGAAGATCTCAAAACCAAGCAGAAAGTAATCTTCACTTTTTTATTAGGTTATTGTTTAATTATTCCTTCATCTACACGTCTATTTATGGATATTGTTACTTTTAAAATGCTGTAAAAGTCTCTGATTAAAGCCACTGTGTATCTCTCAAACATTGATATTAAATAATTGATTGTTAGATTAGTTCCCAAGAACATATTCCGTACTGTCATACTGTTTATTAATTCTTATTAATTGCTGATCCTAATGCTCTCTTATGATTGATTTTTTAGAACTGGTTTTCTCTGCATAGCACGCAAATTAGATCAACTGAGAGCCGCTGCCCTGACCTGTTTGGGAATGGCTGAGGACAGTTTTTATCATGAGCCATGCCCACGCACGTCACACAGCCGTGTACGAATGTCACGGTAGTTCATTATCTACAGCGCTGTAGTTAGATACCTGATGCCTGTTAGGGACCTGAAACAGCTGCAGTTAAATGTCACTTTCTCAAATGCATTCACTGACCAGGAGGGGAGTTGTCATAAAATGATACGCAGAAATTGCAAACACAGTGAGGTGGTATTTAAGTAATCTGCTTCTGTTTTGAATTTGTTGTTAAACAAAATGTTTTCTCCCTCAGGCAAGAGAGCGATACCAGCAGGGAAATGGCGGCGTGACGGAAAGGACCAGACTCCTGTCTGAGGTGTGCGCCGTGGCTCTCACTGTCTTCTCACCTGTCAGCTGGGCCCCAGCTGTTCAGAGCCTTTCACGGTTCAATGCTGCGGCAGCCGTGGGTTGTTTATTTCAATACTTGCTTCCTGTGGCTTTAAATCCTTTCCTTTAGGAGAAAATACCTAATTTTCTTATCAGTGAATCCATCATGTATGTATATACTGCTTGTTGCCACAAAATGCCTGACGTTGTTCTATTAAACTGCTGATAATATTAGCAAATTCTTAAGTTTCTTTAATGTTTTTTGAAATATAATGATTATAATTAATATATAGAAGAGCAGGTAAAGCACTAACTTAAGTGTCTATAACAAACTTTAATGTTAGTCTGGAAGACAGAAGATTTGTTTTTAATGATTGCTGTTGATAACTTGTGTGTGATCCCGAGTATTTCTCTGTCCACAAACTGGGAGTGACTTGTAACCCTTTCCTTCTGAGAACTTCTGGAATATTTACATGTCTTGTTGTATTTATTTCCATGATCTTGCAAGAGAGGTAAAACCTAATATATTTTCCCATTTTTCACTGAAGAGCTGGGAGGGGAAAAACCCTTAAACTGGGCCAGTAGGCAACGTGGGACTAAAATCCGAGAGTATCTTTGGTTACAGTCCAGTATAATCATCCCAAACTTTGCTACGTAATAGAATTAAGCTTCTTTTATAGAGATTATTTGAGGAGTAAACAGTTATTTTTAAATACTAAGAATCTGACTTTAGGAATATTTAGACTCTAACCCCATGGTGCTTCTAGCGAAGCAAACGTTATGTAGAAGTAAAGTGCTCACTTACGTTAGGTAAATTAACACTCAGCACGCGTCCTGGGAGCCGTTTAGTTCTGACGGAGTAGGTAGTTATCCCCACTTTTAACATTTCAGGGGCCTGAAAAAAATTAATTTGCTTTACTTGGATGAGCACTTTATTCCCAAGGAAGTTTTTACTCACTAGTATGATAAAAATAAAGACTACTGAGTTACAGTAATTATGCCTTACTTCTAGATCATATCAAAATTTTTCAATTTTTTAAAGATGGTATTTTTTACCTGTATTAATCCTAGTTTGGAATTTTGCTAATAATAGAGGCGATAGCAGTATCATTTTGAGTATGATGTAGAGTACAGATAAGAGCCAACGTGACAGCACAGTAAGCCTCTGGGAGTTCATGGTTCTGATAGAGCTGTTAGAGTATTTTTATAGAGCCATATGGTATAGACATTATTTTTAGTGTCTATAAAGAAAAAAGTGGTATGTTCTCTTATAAAAACTATATATTAAGAAAGATACCTAGTAAACCTTTATAAATCCAAAATCTTTTTAGGATGTTTATACTATTTTAATTAATAACTGATTATTAGAGACTGGCATGATAGATGCTGTGTGATAACTGCAAGGTGCAAGTGCCTAACGCCTAAAACAACTTAGCTCGTTTTTATTCTATCACGTTACCTCCTGAGGGGGTCAGTGAGGAAGAGATTTGGTGGAGGTCAACATTAGGAGCACTCTTAGAAGATAAAGAAGCTTTGCATATCTACGTACTTCATCTTATTATTCAAATATATCCAGAATACTCCTAATATCTTTATATCCCTTTATGTATTATATCTAAATTAATTTTCCTAATACATTATTCAAAATTTTTGAAAGTTTATTAAAATTCAGTGCTCATGAAAACTTTTTTTTTCAATGAAAGGTTACAGAAGAACTAGAAAAGGTAAAACAAGAAATGGAAGAAAAAGGGAGCAGTATGACTGACGGTGGTGAGTACGTACTCATTTAAAGGAGAAAATGAGCAAGAGAAGAATATCTCTTCAAGGACTCTATTTAACAAAATGTATTAATAAAGAGGGAATCTGCTTTTTTAAATGTACTTGTTTGATGAGAGGTACATGGTGCAGAAATGATGTCTGATTACCAGTATCCTGTTTTCCTTAGAAATCGGCTGAGAAGAGCCATAATATTTTTACTGTCATTTAGGACTTTTAAAATTTAAACTGTATCAATTCAGAGATAGAGTTGGAAATATCTACATATGCACTTTGTTATGCTGGTTTAAAAAAAACAGTATTTTCTATTTTTGACAAATGAGCTTCATTATTCCATTTCATATACAAAAGAGCACTAAGTATATGCCCAAATGGCACAAAGTCAGTGATGTGACGACCTTTGTTTGTTTTCCTCTTCCCCAGTAGACCTGACTGGGCAGGGGTCAAACAGAGAAGAATTAATAGTCCTCCAGTAATCATCCTCCATCATGAGCTAGTTGTTTTGACCAGTGGCGATTGCCTAAGATCCTTCTGTGCTCTAGAAAGATTTCCTAGGATTCTGATGGTGTATACTGAGTGAGCTTTCAGGAGGGGATCGAGAGGGGTTTTGTAGTATGTTTGAGTGAACCCCTTATCTATAGCTCCAAGGTAATTCTTCCTGCCCTTTTTGTCCCACTGGATCCCCTTTTCCTTCAGACAGATATACTGGCCCATAAAAAAATGTTGAAGACACCCTTAAACACCCTTTTGACAACTCTTCCCCTAGTAAAGGAAGGAAGTTCAGCCTCAGTGCATCAAATGCTGTATCATTTCCCATCCTAAAAGTCTCAGGTGTTTAAATGCCACAGCAAAACTGTGTGAATGTCAGGAAGTTGTTGGCTGTGTTTTTAACCCTATTTTTGGCTTAAGACAAAGTGAGGAAAATGTCATACGATTCTGTAATACACTGAGACTCCAAATGGACGTTTTTATTCCATGTTATTTTCATTCTGCAGCTCCTTTGGTGAAGATTAAACAGAGCTTAACAAAGCTGAAGCAAGAAACCATTCAGATGGACATTCGAATCGGTGTTGTGGAACACACATTACTCCAGTCCAAACTGAAGGAAAAGTCCAACATGACCAGGGACATGCATGCCACAGTCATTCCGGAATCCACAATAGGCTCCTATTAAAACATACTGTTTCTCATGCTTCTCATTAGTTGGTTTTTTATATCAAATTATATTTCATGTTGCATAGATTTCAACACATAGTTATACCTCTTCATGCATGTTCAATGGATATTTTTTGCATATGTACATGCACACATTGTATCATGGTGATTATGGATGGTTAAAGCCTTTAAATTGCATATAATATTTAATAAAGTAATTAAAAATTCTCACTTTCACAGAAGCTTTCACTAATCGTTACATATGTTAAACAACATACCCGCCCACCACCCCAGCTCACTTTTCTTGTTGTCCCCTGCATAAGCTAGTGTATGTGATCCCTGCTTTCCATGGGTGCTGCTGCCCTGTCACTACACGGACCTTTGACACAGTATGGCCCTCAGCTGGGTCCACCTCTGCAGCGATCACAAGTGCTCTGTGCGCAGAGGCAGCTAACACGGCTGCGGATTCTTTCAAAGAACCCAAACTACCCTTGCCTCAGCTTTATGGTTACCTAAAGTTACATTTTTAAAAAACAATAAGAAAAAATTCGGTATCCTTATCAACATCTGAACTTTATTTGTCATGAGTGTTTCGTATTTTACATTTTCTGTAATCTAGGCCACCTAATAAATACTTCAGTATGTTTGACTCCGCTCCTATAGTGACGAAAGGGCTTGTACTTGTCTCAGGTCTACCTTTTCCTGTGGCACTGGCTCTACTGAGGGGTCATTTTGTCGTGGAAGGAGAGACAGTCATGGGAAGATGAGCCTCCGGTGCTGGGGATCTTTCCTGCCACATCGCAGCAACTCTCTAGACGGGGATTTCTAAGTTGGCGAGATAGGCAATATTTGAGTGACCAGTCTGAGAACTGGGGAACCCCTGGAGGGGAGCACAGACCAGAAGATAACCCACGTTTATTTCTTAAAAAGAAAAAAAAAGCTCTGGTGGTAAATTTTGATAAGAATACTGTATGTATAGGACAACAAAAATAATAAAATCCCTTTCTCGTTTATTTATCCTAATATTTTCTCCCCCCAATTTTTTTCTTAGCCTTTACTTTCTAGACATATACTTTAACTCACACATACGCACGAATCTTTTTCTTCAAACTCTCTCTAGTTTAAGATTAATTAGATAAAAGGAAATCTGTGTATAAACTACTGTATTATTAATCAAGGAGTGACAACACAATGGCGAATAGACTGGTTTATTTAATTTGTAAAGAAGAAGGTAGGTGGGGGGTGGATAATAGGCAGTTTGAAAAAGTCCAAGTCCAGAACTTTTCCCTTCCTTTACCGTCATTGGGAGGGGCCTAGCAGAGTGAAACCCAACCTTTGGTCCCACAAGCTAACATTGATTCCCCGGAATTTATTTGCATAGATATTGTCATGGCTGAGCAGTTTTCTGATGAATTCAATCAATGCAGAGAACCCTTCTAGATAAATCAGAGCTCTCCAACAAAATGTACTTTTGCTCAGAAGCAAAGTGCGCTCTTCATTTCGTGGAAACACATATAATCCAAGAACCCTTCCGAGGAGTGGTATGAGCAGCCCATTTTTCCTTCCTCCTCTGAGCTAATTCAGTTTACTCAGGTTGGGCTGGGTGCCCCTCCTCGCTGTTCCCATAGAATACCCAATACCTCTAATACAGAACCTACTGTACTGCATTGCAATTTTTTTCTTCTACCCTTGTTAATAGGTTGAGCTCCTTGAGGATAGGGAGAGTTTCATTTCCCTGTTCCTGCCCAAGCACCTGGCACACAGAGTGTGAGTTAGTAAGTAACTGGTTGGATGACTGGCATTAGGCAGTTCCAGAATATCTCGTAGCCCCTAGTCTGCAGCATGGCAAGTTTAATGACTTCAAGCCTGTGAGTTTTGACACAGTTTCAAGATAATAATTATAAGTTATGGGCTTTTTTCCCCCTGTGGTATTGGATTGGAATTGGAAGCATCAGGATGAAGTCATGGTTTTTTCATATATGGAAGTTAGTAGAAATATTTATAGAAATAACATGTATACGTATACACATGTATTTACTAGTTTTGTCCCCTAGAACACCCTAGAAGCAGTGACAGCCCAGTAACAATGAGAATACCTAGCACTCAGATCTTGGTTTCTCAGTTTTCTACTTAAAAAAACAGGCTTCTTAGAAAAATTTTTGATTCCTGGGCTGGAGCAAGGAAAGCACAAAATGAGGCTAAAATATCTTGCTCTACCAGAAAATAGGGAAGTGCTCAAAGAATGATGGGGGAATGGCTAAAGGACACAGATTGAGCGGTATCCCACCAGCCAATGTGGGACAACTGAGCATCTAAATAAATATAGTAATGAATTATAACCCATAGAATATAGCAAGAAACCAGGAGTCCATACAGATAGAAATAAATGAATCAATGGGAGAAGAGGAAGGCCTTCCTTACAGCGGAATGACAGCTGAGGTAAAGGGAATACCGTGTTTGGAACCACCGTGTGGCAACTACCACAGCAGTAACTCTTGGGGGCAAGGATCATCAGTGGATGCTAAACCTAGTAGGTGACAGTTGAATGAAAAACGATATTTACATATTCTCAAAGTGCGTAAGATGCTCCATGAAGAGAAAAAATTGTGGCTTTACAGTAGAGAAATCTGGTAGACACGACCTTAAGTGATCAAGAGTTAACATGACTAGTAGTGGAACAAAGAGGCATCATGGGTCTCCTGCAAAGTGCGCACACGTACAGGGTCACTGCCAAGAATGCACAACCTGGATCACTCGTGAGGAAGTGACAGATGGACCCAGTGGAGGGACACTGAACACAATGGCTTATGTTCTTCAAAAATGGTAAGGTCATGAAAAACAAGAAAGACTGAGAAACGCTTCCAAATTGAAGGAAACTAAAGAGACGTAACTAGGTGCAACAAGTGATTCCAGATTGGATCCTGGGCCAGGAAAAAAGTCTTTTATTTGTTATAAAGGGTGTTATTAAGACAACAGGTAAAATCTGATTAAGGTTTGTAGATTGGATAATAGTGTTAAATCAATGTTACTGTTTTGATATTTGTACTGCGGTTGTGTAGAAGCATATACTCACCCCAGTACGCACAGATGTACGTGGAGGTGAAGGAGCATCGTTAGCAGCTTGCTAGCAGATGTTTCAGAGAAAAAAATGTATTATGTGTATATGTGTCTGTTTCTATATTCACACATGGAGAGAGATAAGGAGAATGGTGAAGAAAATGGTGAATTGTTAACATTTTGGGCATCTGGGAGAAGGAAATGTAGAAATCCATTGTCTTTTTATAACTATTTTTATAAATCTGAAATTATTTCAAAATAGAGCATGAAAAAATGATAGTTTTGGGAATTACATGCTGTATAAAAGTTAGCCTCTCTCTGAATCAAATATATAATAAACTTGTTGAAATAATATGACCTCCCAATAAGATTATGTTGAACACGTCTTAAACTTACAACTTTATAATCATTGACTCGTTGACCCAGTAGGAACAATTTTTTTACTAGAATAAGGAAGTTTTTTTCTACTGCCTTCTAATTTGTCTAGGCCAGCATTTCCCATGAGTTTTACACACAGAAAAATTTCTGTAACCAGTAAATTTGAGAAATGCGAAACAAGCTTCATTTTATTCAGGACTTCCCATCTACATTGTTAATCATTTGTTTTGCCAATATGTGTTCACAGACCCTTTCACCCAAGAACGCCCTTTGAGAATGCAGAATGCAGATTTAGAATGAGCGCGTGAAAATCAGTATACAGACCTGAGATTATCTTCCAACCTTTTATTAGAACCAGCCAACCTGTGTAGGCAGACCAGGAGACAGGAGCCAAGGCCCCTGCGTGGATGGTTAACAAGCATTCGATGCTCTGTGAATGGCAGTGGACTGAGGATTTGGGAGACTGTAGAGAACCTAGGGTTACATGGCCAAATGCTTTCTTCTTAAAACTCTTCCCTGCCAGTCACAGAGGTTTTTTGGTTTTCCTTTACAGCAGTCTTTACTATAGCGATGCCGTGATAGTAGTTAGAATGTACTGCGCTGTTTTGTAGTCAAGTAGCAACCATTGTCACAACTTTACCTTTTTCACAACTTAATGTGCCTAACAACCAAGTCACAAGTCCTAAAACTTTATCTTTAAAAAGGAGGCATGGCATTTTAAAGGGTAAAAGCAAGTTTGGATTCACTAGTTTGTTTGTGGGTTTTTTTGACACGTCTTTTTAAAATACGGGAGAGAGGAGAGCAAGAACCATGCTCATCTTAATGTGTCCTAAATAACACGTCTCAAGCATTAGATTTCCATAATTGGGTGTGGAGTTCAAACCTGTGATTGGCAGACTCACCTTCGTCTTATTTCAGCCCCGCCTTGGTCCCTCCATACTTTGTCCGCGCACTGCTGTGCACCACAAGGTCACTTTCCAGTCGACCATCAGACAGTACCCTGGAGCCCATCACCTGCTCCCTCCCCTCCCCTCCTCACGAAGCCACTGGAGAGGCTGAAGATTCCTGGACGTGGCCCCATCACTGTGGGTCAGTAGTTAGCACGTAGCTACCACTTTCTTACCCAGCAGAGCAACCTCTGAAGTTCCTGACTCTACTTGGGCATCAAAACAAATAGGCAGCTTTTTAAGAAATACCCAATTTGCCAGCCGTCTCCCTCAATTCTTACTTTCTAGGTCTTGGGTGGTACTAGGGACCAGAAGTTTTAAAAAGCTCCTCAGGTGACTTTGATGCTGCTAATCTAAGAACTACTTTGGGGAGCTACCCCTCTAGAAATCTTCCCTGGCTGGGAGTAAACAGATAAAGCTTCTTAGATCTGAAGATGTCTTTAAAGAGGATCTAAACCAGTGTTTCTTAAAGTCTGGCCTGTGGGATCTTAACATTAGCCCAACCTGGGGCACACCAGAGTTTGAGACAAACCAATATTAAAAACGATCACTTAAAAAAATGATAAAAAGAAAGCCCAAAAAGGTTAAGTAGCCTGCCCATTTATATACCAAGATCCCAAACTGCACGCTTCCTGAATGGTTTTCAACACAGCTTGGAACAGCTCTGTGGGAGCTTCATGTCCACAGCTCCTGTCACCCATGCTGGCCCATCCTCATCCCAAACAAGATGACGGTCATGTTTCCATTCGTGTCCAATGACTGCTTTTTTCTCTATTCCTCATATGAAGGTTTTTGCATAGAATACAGCATGGGGAGTCCAGACACCTGGATTCCAATCCCAAGTCTGCTAGTAAATTTCTGCATGACTTTTAGGACATCATTATCCTCAGTGTCAATATTTTTATTCTTCAATTTTTTTTTTCCGCAAACGTAAAGAGTAGGAATAGAATATTCTGAATGCTTCTACTTCTAAAATTGCATGATTTTAAATCTTTAGGAAGATCTCCTCCACTTTTTATGACTTGCAACTATGACTCCTAAGAGCTGACTGTCAGATATTCAGAAACTTTGAGAGCAGTTGTTAAACTCTTGGTAGCTTAAAACCAGCCCACAATGGGACTATTTACATCATAGAAATAGGAAAACACTAAAAATCAGGGCTTTAAAAAACAAAAAGAAAACAGAGAGCCGATTTACCAGCACATCACTGATAATAAGTATTATAATGTTCCATGGACCAGAACCAAGTGCAATAAATATATAACAGAATGTTCCACCATATTTTAAGGTAGATTATTACACTGCTAATTGAATTAGACCAGATTTGCAAATTGTTCTCCAACATCATTAAATCTCCATAAAGCTACCCAGTGTGTCAAATGTGCATCCCCCGCGCCATCTTATTGATGTTACTTTACTGCCTTCCTAACTAAACCCAATTCCTTTTACCGCTTCTCGAATCAATAGGCTAAAGCGGCCCAAGCGTCTTCCTACCAGATAGATTCAAAGATGATGCTTGTACAACTGAAAAAACGTAGAATGCACAACTAGTCCAATTACTTGACTGTAAAAAAAACAACTAATTCAGTTCACTGCATCATTGATCCATTTAATTGTATAGCAGCTTCCTATTGATAA